TCAAACGCTGATTTACTTTAATTTAGTTTAATTCACGTTTGTCTTTTTCTAGAGTAACAGTTGGAAAGGGACAAAGAACAAACTAAGCTAAGATTAAAGTTAAGCGACATTGGTGAAACTTAAGCGACTTAGGCCTAAGGCCCGGTTTCACCAAACGCCGATTTACTTTAATCTTAGTTTAATTCACGTTTGTCTTTTTCTAGAGAAACAGTTGGAAAGGGACAAAAAACAAACTAAGCTAAAGCTTAAAGTTAAACGACGCCTTAGGCCTAAGGCCCAGTTTTACCAAACGCCGTTTAACTTTAATCTTAGTTTAATTCACGTTTGTCTCTTTACTTTAAACTTTAAAGTAACAGCTGGAAAGAGACAAGGAATGAATTAAGTTAAAAGTTAAGCGACATTGGTGAAACCAAGCCTGAAGCGTCAGATCTAATCTACAATGCCTTCTTTGCGTCTAGAAACAGTCAGTTTTGTGGTCAATAAATACGTTTAAAAAAAAATTGCGCAAGTGGGTAAATTACGTATTGTACACTACAATCCTACGTTGTCGACAAATTTTTTAAGCGTTTCGATTTGTTTATACAAAATAGAGCGCTCCTGGATGCACAGGGCACATTGTAGAGTAGGCCCGAGCAGAAAGATTGTCGTAATCGTCTACGATTTCGTCGTAAGACTTAAAGTCGGTGTCGTGAGTCACGCGCACGCAATTATCATAGACGTGTGTCGCCTCGCGATGCAACGAATGCGGCATGCAGTACGGTTGTTAATTCGGTTTGGATAATAATTGGGAATGGACAAAAAATGACTCGATTATTTAACATCGAGGCTTTTTATCGATACGACACGAATCTAATTAACGACAATTGTTTGCGCGTTGACTTGCGACACTGACTTACGTCTTACGACGAAATCGTAAACGATTACGACAATCTTTCTGCCCAGGCCCTTACTCATCTGGTGGTGTTCACAGTCAGGTCTTACATTTAAGATCCCAAGATCATCTTTAGATAGCGTAGCCAATGAAATGGTCCATGCAGCGTCTTAAGATAAGCTTGAGACGGTCTTAAAGATAAAATCGGACCATGAATACCGGCCACAGTGTGAATACTTATGTTATAAACAACGGGAGAATATTTAGATCGCAGCGTGAGCGAACCAATAGTGCGTGTCGGGGCCCGACTCGACCGAGCGGTTTTTGTTGACTCGACACGACTTTGAGATGGTCCGGCACAAGGTACCGGCGCGCAGATGCTATTACGTGGCTAATAATTAACGATGCAGATTGCGGGACGGGACGGGTCCCCTCGCGCGCCGCGCCGCGCCGCGCCGCGCCGCTTCGGTTTGCGTGCGATGTCGCGCGAACGTGTTTCCATTAGCGCGACCGGCGCTCCGAGTGTGTTTCGCGCGTGTTATTTTGGCGTGTTACATAATAGACGCCATTAAACCGCGGGTTGATTTATAACGGCGCGGTTTGCGAAAATAATTCCGCAAACCGCGACACGCAAGCTCGCCGATATTCCACCCGCGCGGGTGCGTTTCTCCCGTCGCGAAAAACGCGCGTGTCGCGCGCATGCCGGGGTGCGTGCACCACAGAAAAATTAATTCCTGATCCAATGCCATTACACTTGAATGTATCATAAAATAGGCTCGATATAGCGCCAATCATATTTATTGTAGAGAAAGAAATATTTTAATCTGAAATGATCGTCTTTTGTCGAATATCGCGATGCCAACTTCGTGCGTTGTAAGATGGAGGGAAAATTTATTCTAAACGCAAGAACGACAAGTTACTCTTGTCTCAATATAGTAAGTCAATCTTTTTTTTAGTTCGATAGAGGAGAATAAGAATTGTTGACTTTACTTTGATATTGTCTTATACCAATCATATTTATTATAGAGAAAGGAATGTTTTAATCTTGACGGAAGGAGAGTTTGCTTATTGTCACCAATAATGATTAAAAATTGAGACGGGAAACTTATAGTCAACCCAACTGGCTAGTTATTTAATTAGTTCATTACACAACGTTTCGACCCTATACTTTTGGGTCCTTTTGGCTACGCTATCTAAAGATGATCTTAGGATCTTAAATGTAAGACCTGACTTTGAACACCACCAATGAGTAAGGGCCTGAGCAGAAAGATTGTCGTGATCGTTTACGATTTTATCGTAAGACTTAAGTTCTTCCTCTCCTTTCTTTTTTACTCAAAAGA